CAGAAATACTTTCAAATAATGACTCACAGGGATTTAGAGGGTTTCAAGTTAGATAACGAGTTCCAATCAGCTAGAGAATAAACAGCATGGCTGTCAGAAGGAGAGGGTAGACCAGTCACGGTCAACAGCTCAATGCTGGTAACGCAGAATCAGCAGAGACTTCATTCAGAGTCATATATAAAATACGACCGAGTCGTTTCAGAGGGTTTCGCTTACATCGTCTTCATACAACCGAAGCTTTAGCAATTCATGAGGAGAAACCTGAACTTTGTGTTCAGGAATGCTTTTCCAAACTCTTTTACTACCATAGCCTTAGTATCTCTTTCTTCTTTGTTTTCATGAGTAACTGTATATTGTAAGCTCTGTGCATTCCAGTTCATGTTTTTTGAAGCTCATTTCCAATCCTTTACTCTTTTAATTCTTGTCAATTATTTCAAACACACTTATTTTTCATGCAGTGTGATTTGCGCTGTTAGTAACTGACAATAGCCTTTGACCTCTGTTATCAATCTTTACTGTGTATACAAACCACGTAAACAACTGTACACCTTTGAAGTGAAGCTACGAAAAGAGACCTTTTTGCTGACTGATGTGTTCTTAATTACATGAAATGGGAATTTTTCATGCTTCAAACTTATGGAGTATTGGATTCCGTTCCCATAGCTTAGCGTTTCACGAGCTGGCTTTGTAGTCGGAAAGTTCGACTACCTGGAGGATGATTAGTGTGTATTACTGAAGAGTGCAGTTTCTCCCGGTTTCAATGGTTCTCTTCAGATATGTTCATGATCTGACTCGCAAATAATTTCCCATGTAGTCGTAAATCACAGTTTATAACATTGATTGTCTAAATGGAAAGCAATGAATGAATTAGTTGGGATAAGGTTGATTCAAATCTCGACTTACCAATTATGTCTTGTGATAATCCAAAAGGAGCCAAAAATATGGTGACTTATCATAATGATGATAATATATCCATTCAACTGTGTACACCTAATATAACAAAGTCTGGTGTATGTATCTCAATATCGGTACTTGGTCGTTTCTATTGCAAATGTTTAGCATGGACTCGATGAATACGGATTCAGTGACTAACTTCCCCCTCCCCCTATCTAACTATATTACCTTTTAGAAATGTAGATCTATCCCACCCTGTTGTGTGTGATTATGTTTTACTGCAAGCATTGCAGTTATACCTTTTTGTGGTCAATAATTCTGCAATTAACCGAAGTTCTTATATTCCAATAACCTAACTGATGCTAATATATTGAATTGAGTTGTGTGGTTGACCCCAAAAGTCGTTGCAAGGTATTTTTGGGATTCGATTATTTTGACTAATTCAGTCAGTAGAGTCCTTCAGCCTGCACAATTTGTCACTGAGTGAGTCTGTAGGTTTAAATGCCAACCTCATGCCTACCTTATTGCAAATTCTTATTAGAGCCCCTTCATTATATGACAGCACTGTGAATGACTTAAATTCCTTCTTATTTATGCTATAGTCAACAGTTTCACTACTCTTTCTTCTTTTACTGTGAACTTTTTTGAACTTCTTAATGAATTTTAATGAGATAATTACTTAGCACCAATACTTCTTCAACTGGGTTTATTTCATTATTTAGATTTTCTGATGTGTTACTTGGATATTTTGCTTGACCGGTAAAAACCCAACTAAAACTCCTTTTTAATAATTGGATGATGTTTTGAGTAGAATTCATTGCTCACAATCATATCACAATGGTTTAGTTCACACAATTAAAAGGTAGAAATGGTTGCAACACATGGATTGCGTAATGCATAATTTTGGAAAAATGAAGAGTAATTAAGAAATAAGCGTGTGCATAGGTTGATTGCGTAACAGATTGTTAAAGAAAATAAAACGATTTGAACAATCATAACTTGTAACTAAGGCTGGAGTGGTCATAAGAATAAAATAATTTTACGTAGTTAACATCTAATTCAAGATGAAGTAGTCAGAAAAAATAATAAAATAATTTGGACAATTATAATTTTTATAATTGTTGACTTGCCAAAAGTATTTTTTAGTAATAATAATAAATGAATGGAAATAACCTGTTCAGAAACTTAGTAAGCCACAAGAAGCATTTCCAGCAGGTTAAGGCAGACTTCTGTCAACAGCTACCTTCACTGGCTCTATACGGAAGATCGGATGACCAGAAAGGAAAGGAAACAGGGGACTCTGGGAACGAACAAACCAAGAACCTATTTTTTTATCCTTCACGTTCCCCAGTGGAACATTGGGCTTCAAGCTAGTGGCTTGAAGTTTCTGTAGCAGTGTTTATTTTACAGGATGGGGTTGTTAGCCTCATGCCCAACCTTTCCTCTTCACCAGCATTATTTCTGGCTTAGCGAGGTGAAGGAGTGCGTCGGCTGGGGATCGAACCCCGGACCATGTGCATGGTCGGCGAGCGTCCTAACCGCTATGCCACCGACGTAACCTACTACTCAACAAATATTTCGAAAAAAATGGAGATGGATTCGTGACGCTTTGTGGAGACCGTTGGGTGACATCAACGGTCTTCTTAGCATTGCGGTGGCCTGCTTAAAACTGGGACTACCGAAAAAGCTCCATCAATATATTGCATAGAATTTCTCTTATTCAGTTTGTTTAAATCTAGCAAAGTATGACTTATAATAGTATTGTTTGCTGTGGTGAGTTTTTAAAATGCTCATAACGTGCTGATTCGCAATTTTCCAATAAACGGGAGAAGAAGTATTGTTCTCAATGGCATCTTATCCCAATACATGAGATGACTATTCCCCAGTGGTGTCCCTCGTTCTTGAACTTTTTATAATTGGCAAGCAACAAAATATCATATACTTCTCGTAGGAGAAAAAGAAGAGATATCATCATAGTGGATTGGTTTGCGCTTCAGGTCAGATAGAACTGTGTCATACGATCTACTGGTAACTAATCTTTTATCTGACAATCCTGGATGAATAGAAAATATCATGCAATAAACTCCATTGAGAATTCTGTACAATACATAAACACTGTTTAGAATAAAGCCATTATTATTTTTACCGCGCGACAGGCCATACCTCAAGTGGAACCCGGATGGGAAATGGTGAGTCAGGTGTGGGTCCAAAGGTGACATGGAGGAGATCGTGTGCGGAGGAGATGAGAGACTGTGGGGAATCGTGGGGCCAACTTAAGAGGACCACAGTGAATAGGATCAAGTGGAGGTGTTCTTTGAAGTCGATGTTCCACTCGTAATCCAAAGGGACAATAAGAAAAATAGTAATAACCTGTTACATTTTTTTGACTTCACTTGGTTTATCTGGCGAAGAAAGCTTCTCCAGTCACTCTAACCTTTACTCATTCCAATGTTTCCTACTGGTCTAATATGATCTTCATTGATATAATAAAGCAGTGTTTATCAGCTGATTTATCCCATGATAATATGTATTGAGAAGTCAAACCACCAGGGGATTTCATTATTTCATGTAGTGATGTTCACTCAGTCGATATAATTTACGTTTTCACACATTACTTCCTGATCCTGTTTCCTCTGTCTTATTAGAAGACCTGTTAATTCCACAAACTAGTAGTGTTAGGTTCACATTTGAAGGTGACTGTTTTTGTCAGATTGGTGTTGCTATGCGGGGCCTGTTGGGGCCCGTTTTAGAAGATATCTATATATATGTCGTACACTGAGGGTTTATCGGAAGATTTAATTGAAAAAGCACCACTTTATAGAAGGTAAATCAATGACTTTGTAATCATAAGTGATAATCTTTGTTCTTCCACTTCAATTTTAGGTAGAACGAATGAAGTGCGAAACAACATACCACTTACGTCTGTAGAAGAGAAGTATTATTGTTTATCTTTCCTAGATATGTTACTTGGTAGAAAATGTACTTATAGAAAACTTTCCATGGACATGACAGTATTTTAATTACCACAGCTTCTCCCATGTTACGTACAAAACAGCCTTAGTGGAGTACCTCTTCAGTAGGATCCAACAAAAAATGCACAAAAGACACACTTGAAGATGAGGAACGAAAACTGACGGAAACTTCGTTTGATAATACTTATCCAGAGAAGTTCGTAAGGAGATATAAAGTGGTCAGAACACCAAGATGCATTCTCCAACTCGGCGCTAAAAACGACGTATACATGAATCTACCCTATATGGGTGATCATTGCAGCTTGGTAACTAGACAAAGATTGAACTCTGTGGTTATAAAGACTTTTTATGTAGCTGAGATCATAATAATTGAAAATGTGAAGCCTTTATATCCATCCATCTAAGCCCTTAGAACATGAGAAAAATGATATCAAATCACACTGTATTTACCAATTAGAATGTACGTGTGGGCACGCATACCAAGGGGGGACTCATCGATCATTGCAAGTAAGTGCTTCAGAAGAAAGTGGAATCCCCTGAACGCATTAATGGTGAAAACACACAGCCTAGCTCTTCAGTTGAGGCCCTAGAAACTAGGAAGTTTAAACCACTTATGAGTATTCAAAAAACAATTCATCATCACACTAAACCTTTCTTGGTAAACCTTGTTTTGATACTGAAGCAGATGTACTATTATCTCTCTTCTTTGGTTTGTTGATCTCAACTGTTATTTTCACCCTTATTGTAACCTTTTAACTTTACTCTTGTCCATTCTCTCACCCCATAAAGCTTTAATATTTTCAGATTTATGACAATTACGTGGGTGATCAGACTGTTCGAAATATGTAGCGGAAATACACATTACACGATTCAGATAAATTATGTCTTCATATTGTTTTGTTGAAATTCATAAAGGGGACTAAATGTTTCAAATACACTCTAGATTATTTGGTTGAGATTGATTTGTAGTAGGTTTCAAGATGTGCGCATTTCACTTTACTTGGGACTGGTCAACTTAAGGTACCTGTGAAGGATGGTGTTCAATTCTTCAATCTTGACATCTGTAATACTATATATAATCAAATAATTTGTTTAAATGAAATAAATCAATAAGAGGTATTTAGATTTACTCACTTTCAAATTTCGATAACATTGATTTCGCATTGTCAAAAGCTGTCCAACTATTATTTATAGCATTTGTAACACGTTGAACTAAATTGTTTAACTGTTGAAATTTCGATTCAATTTGTTTCGCTTGATTATGCTGTCCACTGAGTGTATCACTCAACTGTTGATTGACTTGATGTAGACGATCCAGCTGAGAGTTTAAATTATTATCAATAGTTGATAAACGATCTTGCAGATTCTTTGACTACATCCAAATAAGTAAAAGAAAAGACAGGATGAAAAGTAATATGTATCATCTTTTTTTGATTGTTAATGAACTGAATAAATAAATAAATAAGTAAATAAAGAGAAGAGAACGACTGTTGCTTTTGTTTTGCGTTCCAGTTGAAACATGGGGCTTCAAGCTTTGAACTTCAGTGGACAGCAGTGCTGCTTTTACAAGATGGGGTAGCCACCTTGACGTCAGAACTTTCGATTTTACTCGGCTTAGCATCGGTTAGTAAACTGGGCAAGGTTGAGGATTACGTCGGCCTGGTAGAGAGGCTGATTACCTGCATGGTTTTCGGGGATTATACCATTGAAGCCTCGCCGCATATTGTAATTTTATTCCGAATTGGACTTAGAGCCAATCGCTTACCAGAGAAAAGCAAGTGTTATTCATTTAGTCGATAGAAAGTTAAGCCAGTGAGTGCGATAAAAGTACGGAACAAATGTCCTAGGCTTCCTGAAGATTGCCTCGAAACGTAACCATAATGTCAAGCTACGTAGTATGCTGGCCGCACAGCAACTTTGACTGCTAGAATTCAGTCTACCCTAATTCCAAAGACTAGACACATGACATTAATTCCGAACTAGTGTGCAGTCAAAGTATCTACTATAATCCTACAGGAGGTCAACCACAAGCCCAGATAGCTCAGTGGTAATATTTTTGACTGCAGCTCTAGGTGACGCTGTTTCAAATCTCAGAAAGGACATGAGTTCCCTCAGCGTATCAGATACTCCTTATTGACGAGTACCAATGAGCGCGAAAGCTTAGTCCAGAGCTACCTGTCAGTTTCCTCGAAGCATTCAAAAAGTTAGACGGATTATACAGGCGAGAAATAGAAATAAGCGAAAGCAAAGGTCGGTTGACAGTGTAATACATGTTGCTAAGGCACTCAAACAAGTAGAAATCTGAGTGATTTAAGAATTTGGGTATATTTATTATCATGTCTTTGAATAGCCTAGCAATATATCTTATATCATCAGCCAAAATAGTGAATTTGCGACATTCAGTACTAGGAATCTTTCCACATAGGAAAATAGGATTATTAATGTTGGATGAAGTTTTGAATACAATTTAATCTTCATGACCATATCAAGTATGACACAACAACTGTGGGAACTGCAAAACTTGATTCGCACACTTCTAGTTCTTCACTTTATCTCTTTTTTTTTCGCAGTAAGAATAGTAGAATTTTACTGATATTCGGAACAGGTGTTGAATCACCTCTGTTACCTGTGTTCTAAGTTGAATCAATAAACAATTCCTGTGATGTCAATCTTTCTTACCACTATGCTATATTGGATTTTAAGAATGTCACTCTGCTCCATCTCATTGTATGGTTGTACGTGAATGTATGTAGCAGTAGCATAGCCTAATCTTTTCTGCAGATTTCTTATCTTAGTAGGGTTTTCTAGTCTGAATTTGTCTAGATCTTTATGTTCAACTGCTCCAATTAACCCCTCCTTACTACTACTTTGACCTATGTATTTGACCACACATTGATTGCATGGTTTCAAAAAACAGCAGAATACTTGGTTAAGTGGGCTCCACCAAAATCTTTGAACAAATACATGAAAAGTTTTACTGTCCACAGGACAAATAAAAAACGAGAACAACTAGAATTAGCTGATGAGTACAAAATAAGACAAAACGTGGATGCCAAATTCTCCTGTTAGCCAGCACTAACAAAATGACATCATGTTGAACATAAGTATTTCCCAGGCGTCCGTATTAGATGCCAGCATGTCAACAGATGCCAAACGTTTTGGTCCAATGTAATCAATCAACTAGAAATTCAATAAGTAACAACTAGTACTCCCTGCACTTACTGACTGACTAACTGGTTTCAACACAGAACTTTGCACAGATGAGCAGCAGTTCAAGTTACCACACTTCATGTAGAACACAAAGAAAGACAAACAAGAGGGGAAAAGAGATCCGAAAGAAGGATAATAAACAGAAATATGAGGAAGAAAGAATAGTAATGTGGACAAACAATAGGCTTTTATTGGATATGGCATTATTACAGAGAGTGAATGAATCTGCGCCACTGAGAAGAATTCTGAGCCATATCACCAACTGTCTCCAGCCTACATTAGTTCTTGCCATCCCGAGAACCACAACCAGACTGGCAGTCTACACCTGCCTATGTGGCTGGAGTAATCGAACTGTTATGGATTTCATTGACTGATGACATGTTTTGTTTTGACTACCCCTAACTGTTTTACAACCTAATCAGCTGAGATTTCAGCTAACACTGGCCGTCGAGAAAGGTGATGAATAGGCATGAGTAACACAGATCAGATGGCCGGAAAGGATCAGCAACAAAGATCTCTGGGAGCAAACCAACCAGGAACCGATTGTGAAACAAATAGGCAGGAAGAAATGGAGATGGATTGGCCACACTCTGAGGAAACCAGCAAGTGACATCACTAGACAAGCCACTGCTCGAGTGGAACCCGAAAGGGAAGGTGCGAGTTGGTCGTCCAAGGGTGACCTGGAGGAGATCATGTGAAGAGGAGATGAAAGCATGTGGGCAGACCTGGAGCCAGGTGAAAACTCTAGCAGAGAACCGAACGCAATGGAGACGCACGGCTGAAGCCCTATGTTCCTCTAGGAACTAAAGGAAATAATAATAATAACACATGTCCTGGTCATCTCAATCGATGTAGCTTCATGACCCTCATCGATTGATTTCCCCTCCTTACCTAAACCTTGAGGCCTAACCTAAATATTACTCACCCTGTTATGCCACCTGCACCTAAGGTGGCCCTCATGGATCACCGAACTACTAGAAAACACTCTGGCGTTTAAATCAGTAGGTTTAAGATTCAAGTTTCAATGGGAACACTACCACTCACTGACGAGGTAAGCATATACAACTAATGGCTCCAAAGTGGGAAAAAACCTCGCATCCTGATTACCACTGTTAGCCATTATCCACGAAATAAGAAGTGGAAATATCAAAAATCAAGTTTTAAAGTCGGTAAATTACATTAATTAATACAATAAACAATGGATATAATTGAAACGTCCATATAGCTAATAAGCGAACCAGTGTACAACAGCATACTGCCACAGATTTCAATTATTACACATGTATCGATTATGAATTTTTGCTTTCTTATACTGTTTAAGAGATTTCCTGAAAAAGGCTGTTTGTTCATGTCAGCCTGTTACTATTTTAGTATGTCTTTCTTCTTCTGCCTCCTCCATATGTTCATTTATTCTTTCATGTCTTCTGGCAGAGAGAGAGAGAGAGATTATAGTTAATTAACTGTAGTAGCATGTTATTCGGTAATTCTGTAGTCTTTATGCATTAAATAACTATCTTAGCTCAGTAGTCTAGTGGATAACACTCTGAAGTTTGAAGCGCTTTGTGCGGAATCTGAGTATTAGTAAGAACGCTAGGCACCGAGTAGCAGGTATTCCCGCCTATGGGGTGCCAAATGATATGTCAGTCTACTCAACAGGTGTAAGTGGCACTGATGAATCAGCTATCCTCATTTTGTAATGGTTAAAAAAAGAAAATCTGAGCAAAGTATATCCTTTTCGATAATTTCCTCTTCTGGCTCTACAATTTATATATATATATATTCCTGGACAAGAACATCAACAACAGACAATGATCAGCATAAATGGAAGGAACCTGAAAGAAACAACCTCTTTCACCTACCTACCTGGGAAGCATCGTTTCAACTACGGGCGGGCCGAACTGACGAGGATATCAAAGCAAGAATCGGAAAATCAAGACAAGCTTTCACTACTCTCAAGTCGGTGTGGAGGTCAACAGCACTCAGCATCCAAAATAACATCCGGATTTTCAACTCCAATGTGAAGCCAGTGCTACCTACTATACGGATCAGAGACTTGCACTGCGCGTCATAGAGAGCATCTCAAACAAACTACAGACCTTCATCAACAACTGTCTTGGCTCAATACTCAAGATCAGATGGTCAGCCAAAAAAGATCAACAACAGAGATCTCTGGGAGCGAACCAACCAGGAACCGACTGTGCAACAAATAGGCAGGAAGAAATGGAGATGGATTGGCCATACTATGAGAAAACAAACCATCAAGTGACATCACTAGACAAGCCATTGCTCGAGTGGAAACCGAAAGGGAAGCGGCGAGTTGGTCGTCAGTGCGAGGGTGACTTGGAGGAGATCATGTGAAGAGGAGATGAAAACGTGTGGGCAGACTTGGAGCCAGGTGAAGACTCTAGCAGAGAACCGAACGCAATGGAGACGCATGGCTGAAGCCCTATGTTCCTCTAGGAATTAAAGGAAACAATAATAATAATATACGCAGAATATTCTAGAATAATCGTCATTAACAGTATTGGTGTTTTTTGAAATAATACCGACTTGTTAAGATCAATAAAATTACAGTTCAAGACAGATGCATAAGTTAAAATAAGCATAAAAATGTAATAGTGAATGGAATATCAAATTAAATTAAGGAAATCTCTACAAGAAATTAAGAATCATTAAAATCTTGATTGACAGCCAATGTAAGGAAAGTGTCTGACCCAACTTCTTTTGGATACATAAGTTAGGTTTCTTAATGTGGATCCCAACAGCCTCAGAAATATGTAGTAGACGTGCTCTTAAGGTGAAATTAAGATTAGTTGGTATGCGATAGATGACTTTGAAAGCCTCGTTAACATCAATCTTGTGTTCTGTATCCACCAGATGAGATAGAAAGATGATATCTTAGTTAAAGTTTAAAAGCGAACCAAAAGTTGAATCATACTGAAAGATTCGAAACGGATTTTTCTCAGTTTCTATGAACTATTTTCGTTTATTTTATTTTATCAGATCCAATAATCGGTGTGATGAATGATGATTGAGGATGGCGGATTCAAATCACCCACGGCTTGGATTACTAGCACTGTGTCTCACTGACTTCATTGTAAAGCCCAGATATTAACCGAATTTCTATTTGAGTGCAATCAGCAAGAGTTTTTGCAATTTTTA